TCCCGCGTCCGTGTAAACAGTCCAAACGACGTAACCATCTGAAAGAACTCTTTTCCAAACAGTATCGACTGACTACCCTGATGCTGCCGACGATTTGGTTCGGGGCTGCGTTCGGTTACTACGGTGTCGTATTGCTCAGCGCGGAGATTTTCCGATTTCGTCACGCCTGTTACGGAGGTGAGTCCTGTATTACTTGATTGCTCAACACACTTCAATTTAATTTGTTTGATTAAATTTGAGACAACTTCTTTTGATTGCCACAGCGGAGCTTGCACTGCGGACCCAATGTCACCTGTATTTATACAAACGGGAACACTGTAGTTGCGCAACCAATCGTTTGTCTCACAGTGTTAATACTCTCCCCCGTTGTTCACAACTACATCACGAGAAATTCGGTTGCGAAACTGAAAAGCGATATATGTGTATGTTCGATGCATGTATTGTTTCATTTAATTGCTTAGCTCGAGTTTATCTACTGTACAGAATATTTCGAATGAAAGTTGGAGTCTCCTTCATAATTCGGGCAAACATTATCACCATTGTAGGCTTCTAAAGGCCAACTGATAATCCAATACAGGTCTTCCGACGTGAAATAAAGGCCCGCTACTCATTTGCTTGCCAAACGCGGTCCGTTATAGACAAAAGTGAAGTCGCCGTTTGCTTGTTGGATAGGCTGCGATACTATAAGAAGACCTGAGATGCTCTAGGGAACAAATTGAAGCCCATTGGAAACTTATGTCCCGAGAAAAATTTATGTAACGTTTACTTTGGTCTTCACGAAAAATCGTTACGATTCGGCAGAAACTAGTCATTTTTAACCAGAGTTTCGTGTATCGCGGTATATTTAAATTTGTTCCAGTTGAGCGTCTACTTCAGTTGAAGAAGTCAAATTAACCTCACCAAACGAACTAACAAACTAGTAACTACAAAAACCTGGTTGACTGTTGTCCTATTCGCAACGACGGTGTCATACAATTAGGAAACGCGTAGCTTAAGTTTCTTTCCTCAAATATACGTATTCGAAAATACACTATTCTGTAATGCAGTACCTGGGGAGCTCACTCACCTGAGGAAGATAATCTCTTTCGAAAACCGAACTGACAGACGGTTTGATCCAATTATCAAACGGTTCACAACACTCGTCATGTGATCAACTTGAACACCGATCACCTGCGTTTCCCCACGCGATCAACTAGCAAGTGTTCCATTCCGTAACAAAATACACATTGTGATGGGAATCCACAATGCAAATGACTTTTTCTGTGTACTCACGGAGAAATCAACATAATACACACTATGATGCCTCGCTCACTTCAATACCTTTCGATAATTGACAATCCGTGTCCCGGTGCCCTGAGAATGGATTGTTGTTATTATTTGGAATACTGCGAATTCGAAGTAGCTTGGCTTCTCGATTTAAGCACGGAAACTCGTTCAATCTAATTCTACGGTAATATAAGCAACGAGAACACAGCGAAGGAATCCGTCTCAACAAATGTGCTATTCAAACCCCGTTCATTTTCAAAAAGGCATAAGTCCATCCTGGCATCCAGTGGATTACTCGCACATGTATGATTTGTCACGGCCTTCACAAACTTTATCCGAATACCGGAGGTTGACAACCTCTTCTTCTGAAACATCCGTACGATGTTACATAACTGACGAACGATTGTACACTTTTCATTCATTTTTTATTTCTACCTACTATCTCTAGTGTCTTATTTGGCATTTTAATCAGTAATAATCTACTGCGTAATATTGAATTATATCCACAACATAAAAGCCTATATCGCGAGCAATTCAGGCTTTATTCCTAAGCCAAAGTGACCTGTTTGTACAGGTGTATTCATCTACACCATTGTATCGTCCGGTTCAAGCGTGTTACACTCTGGCTACCGGAAGGTAAGTACAAATCTACTCGTGCTATTGTCAGCGCATTGATCAGTGCGTGTTTTCACACGCCCCAGTCGGCTTGACCTGAAATCAGCTATTTCGCTCCATCGTGACTAAACGCTAGTCTGAATGAACACGCGTTCCGTGCAAGAAAAACGCCAGCTCACGTGCATAAAATGTTCGCACGCAGACACACGCACACAAATCAGAGAAGGCAATCTGTACGATGTGAAGTACATCGGGCGGTGGTGGCCCGGTGGTAATATCAAATTATCACCCCGGAGGATGCATTTTCCACCACCGTCTAACTTTCCCCATTATGTTGTATGGCAACCCTTTGATTGGTCACTTCCCCCTTTCTGAAAATTGTCTTTGTATATTCAACGAAAGGACGTAAAAAGGAAAAAAGGAAGAGATTGATTCCAAATGATTTTTCAAGCATCCCATGCACCCTGTATTGAAGCAGAATTCCCAAATGATAATATCGCCTGCGTGTATCTTTTGAATCATTTCAGTCGCTGTGCTAACCAGTTCCAATAATTTCTCCTACATATTCGAACGCTAAGTGATTAGCATATTCGGCAACAACAGTAGCTAGGACCATTTAAGCGACCTCTACCATCCCTGATTCTGCACAGTGAATCAATGAGGTTTTGGAGAATGTTTCTGAGTCTAAATACTGATTATGCTTGATGTGCAAACAGCCGTTTGAAATGGTTGCACTTTGGTGAAATAATCAGAACCCACTTCGAGGTGAAACTTGGACCCTACCTTGTCCTTTTAAAAAGGTAGGTAGTTTGGTCAATGTGCATCTACCCTCCCCACCCTCTTGTCTAACCCATCACAGTATCTTTCAGATTTTGAAAAAATCAGTGGATACCCACGTGGTGGAGGGACCAGCTCGGTTCCCTAATTTCTTCACAAGACGTGCTGAAGCAAACACTGATCTTCAGTTTTTATTGCATTGAAAACTCTTTACTCTCAGACTCAAGGGTTCTTGTCAAACTCTAATGAAGCACCGAAAAAAACTTTGGTCAACGCTTGATCAATGCCTGTCATTTCTACAGAAAAATCAAACCAAGATTTCAAAGACCAGTCAGAAAAGAAGATTTATATAGATGCTGTGAACGAACTAGCGAATAACTGGAAGGTCAAATTGAGCAGGCCAGACAAAGGATGCGGAGTAGTGGTGATGAAAAAACGCGATAAAATTGA